TCGGAAGAATTCTTCTAGTTCTCCACATTGAAGTATTTTATTAGGGTATTTTTCTGGACAGAAATTTAGGCCTTTAGAAAGGACAGATTTTTCAGTTTTGGTAAGCGTGTGTGTGGAGAGATTGATAATATTTGTGGGTTGGTTGCTGCTTTCAGTTTTATCAGATCTGAGGTTAGAATGTTATAAGGTGTTGGGGTTGTTCCTCTGATGGTTGTTTTGTGGCTGGGGGGCTTGTCCTTGGAGTAATTTGTTCCATTTCTTCTTTTTATGTAGGATGAATGTTGTAGAAAGTTTTTCATAGTCTCTTTGTATCCATTGTATATTGTTAAGGAAGATGATTGGATTTCTGTCTTTTAAGTTGTAGTATGTGGTGATTTCCTTCCTGAGTTGGTCTCTTCTAGAGTAGAGTAGGTGAAGTAGATGATTTCTAATTTTCGCTGAAGTTCTTTTGCATAGCTGTGAAGCATATTTGGAGTTGTGTGTAGTAGTCAGAGAATTGTAGATGTTTAGCTCTTGGGGAACGAAGTTGTGTTTCTTGCAAAGGCTTAGAAAATATATATCGCTGTTGAGTTTGGCTTCTTTCTTTTTCATGTTGTACAGTTTCCATTTCGGACGGCTGAATTCGATATTTTCCATGTTATAGGGGTTAGGTTGTAGCCGTGTTGATCTAAGGACATAGGCAGACAAGGTTCCTTGGGTGAATCTGATATCTTTTATTAGACCAACCCAAATAGTTGGAAAATAATTATTAAGCAAGCTTTCAGGTTCAAGGTTGCATGAGGGACTGTAGCATTCTTCAAAGTTTGAGAGGAAAATAATAATATAGTTTGCTCTGTCAGCTTTAGAATCTCATTTATGGTATTTGAAATTCTCATTACTTCTAGTGCCTCAGTTTTTTCCATCAAAGTCCATCAGAAATCCAAAGGAGGAAGAATATATAGAAAGAAATATGTCTAAATAAAGCATACGGCATATAGGCATATAAGAAAACTGATAATTTTATTTTCAAATATTTTGAAATTAACGTATAATGTGTGGCTTTCAAGAACAATACAGTAGAGGAATAATTTTTTATGTATATGTGGAAGGAAGTTAGATGTTAGGACTTAAGTGTTGCATAATATTAGAGTGGAGCAGCAGCACCCTGCTCTTATTACATTTGAGAACTGCCTGTTGTTTAAAAGACTTCAATGCAGTTTAAAATCCACATGCTTATTTGTACTGTCTTGAAAATTGCTGTTCCTCTTAAAGATAATGGTTAGGGAAATGACTACTTCTGTGAGTCGTCCTTCAGAGAAATTATGTTCTTGGTGCACACGTGCCCCATATGCATAAAATTGGATTCTATTTTGAATAGTGATATCCACCTGGGCTCTTATGGGGATATAAGCGGGCAGCCCAGACTCTATCTTGCACCTCGCTGGCCTTCTGTGATTGCGAGACAGATATTGAAGAGCCTCTAAGACAGAGAGTAGTTATCACTGCAGTGTATTCTATTTTGTGGTGAATTCTTGTTAGACTAATTACTTAAGGGTGAAAAGAAAAGTTTAGACAGAAGCAACCAGGGAAGCCAAAACACTGATAGGGTTTCTGTCCTCCTCCTTATATACTAGACCCCCCAGGTGCAAAAGTTCAAAATTACTTCAGGGTTTAAGATCTATCTCCTCTCCTTCCCCAGAGCAGTGGCCATCACCATTTGTCATTCCAGGTGCCATTTTGACAAGGGTCATATATCTGAGTGTTGCCTCTGTGTAAAAGTTGCTGCCTAGCCAGAGCAGGAGAGATGCAACACGGAGACGCAGCTTGTGGGGTGGGGGTGGCTCCTGCCGCTGCTTGAACCCTGGGAAGGTGGGGGGTGACGTGTGCTCCTGGATCTGCACTGCATGGGGCGAGCAGCAGCTGTGGGGTGAAGCCGGAGCCGGTGCTGCGCGAGGCTCTTCCTGCTGGGGGCTGGGCTCAGAGCGGGCTCTAGCGGCACTGGGAGGAGTCTGTAGCCACCCCAAATTTCACCGCAGCTCCGCACCCAGACCTGTGTCGCTGCCCGGCGCAGCTGCAGCTTTTTCCAGTGCTTGGGTAGAGGAGGGGCGTTCAGCTGGGGCTGCGCCTGGTGGCGCGGGGCTGGGAGCAGAGCTAAGGTGAAATTTGGGGTGACTACAGCCTCTTCCCAGTGCCGATGGAGCCCACTCCAAGCCGAGCCCCACGCAGTACTGGCTTCGGCTACACCCGGCAGCTGCAGCCCGCCCTGCACGCAGATCTGAGAGCGCACACCTCACTCCCCCAACACTCCCACCCTCCCAGGGTGCAAGCAGCGGGGAACTCTCCATGCTGCCAGCTCTGCTCTGTGCCGTGCTGCAGCTGCACGCAGCATGGGCATTTATCACCCAAATTATCGGTCCCATGGGGCTGATATCTGATATAGACACTCTTCTTCATATCAGTACTGTTCTGATATCAGACTGATGTATCAGTGCACCTCTTTTTTTTTTTAACCTGGAACCTTATCTTAAAGCAAGGAAGTTTTAAAGTACTTATATTTGGGAAACACAGTATGGCAACCATACTTTGACTTAAAAAAAAAAAACAGATTTGTGGAAACCTGGTAATGGGGAGTATAACAGGAGAGGCACCTGGGATTGCTGTCACTCCCCACTCTTGGCCACCCCTCTCTTGTCATGCTCCTATTCCAGCCTCCCAGGGTCTCTCCTGCCATGCCTTGTTGTTAAAGTAAGGAGGGGAGGCTGCCCTCTGAGGCTGGAAAGCCTAGGCGCTTGCTCTCTTGCGCTTGCTCCCTTTCACTCTGTATTGTCCAGCCCTATGTACTTTAAAGGCTAAATTTGTGACCTCCAGCAGCCCTCATAATTATGACCATGCCTCATGGATGTTATGCAATGTCAGCTTTAGGAGGCTTCTCACTTAATTAACACTAAATCAGTCACCACCTGCAAGCACCTGTTGGGGTTTTGACTATTCCTCAGCCCCCACCCCTTTTTCTCTAGCTGTGCTCTATCTGCCACAGGCTCACTCTGCCGGGACCCAGCTTAGGAGCTCCAGCCCTCTCTAGTTTCTGTCCTCTCTCTGTCATCTGCCCTGTCTGGGGCAGGGCTTCTAGTCCTGGGTGCACCTCAAGGTGGCCTCTACACTTCCCTAGCAGCCACACTCCCAGTCCACCCAATGAAGTCCAACAAAAATCGCAGGCTTCCGCCTTACGTAAATATTTAATAATAAAAAAGAACACCCTCCCACCCCCGCCCCCAGGAAACCCTTTACCTCTGGGTCAATGCTTACTAAAAATAAATGCAAACAAAAAGGGAACACTACCCATTAAAGGGCACTCCACTCACTCCAGGTATCTCCAGCTGGGCTGTGCTGCTGCTGCCAGTGTTTCCTCTGGGACTTTCAGCTTCCCAGCCACTGGAGTTCCCAGCAGTCTGAAATATAAGAGACTCCTGTGTACCCACACAACCCCCCGGAGTTCCTGCTCCTCAGCCAGGCAGACCTCTCTCTTCTTCCCTTCCCCCTTTGCCTAGCTTCCAACTTGAGGAAGGGCAAGGCTTCCATCTCTAACTTCTTGGTTTCTGCCTCTGTCTCTTTCTCTCCCTCTCTCACCCTCAGCTCAGTAATAGGTTTAGGGTTCCCTGTTACAGAGTGATATACCTCAGTGCTGTGTTTCGTGTTTCTGCCCACACACACCCTTCCCCTGTGTTTGAATGGCTGTGAACTTCTCGTGCTGGAGGGGTATGCGGTACCTTAGCTTTGATCTCATTAACTATGTGTTTAGACAACTAATACCTTTTTTTAGTGTTTTCTTTCTTTCTCTTGATCAGCTTTTGCCTACTGTTGTGCATTTGAGAGTCGTAATAGCTGTAATTGCAACATGCAATGGAAAGGGTTAGAAGGTTATGTGTCACACTTTTTTTCAAAATAAATCTGATATCCTGTTTAATCTTCCCATCTAAAATCAAAATGAATCTTAAATCTTAAAAATCTCATCTCAGGAAAAGTAGAAAATAGAACCATGGTTGTATAGGATTGGAAACAGCCCATGGGCTCTTCATATGCTTCTAGTAAACTCTTCTTGAAGAAAATATAGTACCAGTCTTATTATGGAAAAAAGGAGTTCTGCCAAGTACTGTCCTATTGTGTCTGCTTTCTAGCCAAACTAAAGCTATGAAACAAATGTTAAAAAGGTAAAAGTAGCACTGGTTGATCGTGTAGAACATGCTTTGCAAACCAGTGTTACTTAAATGCTACCATAAAAATTTAGTTACTTTTAAAAATAAAATTACAAAAAGCTAAATGAAGTCATAATGAGAAACGTTCAGATTTAAACCTTATTTTTCTTCATGAGAACTTGCAAAACTAATATGAAGTGCCTTGCTTGGAACACCACCATATAGAATGAAAACTGGGTAAAAGTTTTTAAACAAAATCAATACTCAAGTGGTTTATTATGAAACTAATGAGAGAGTTATCAGGGTACTATAGTACCCATTTTATTAATCATTGTCTTTAATAAGATGGAACCAGAAATTAAAAGGTGTATTAATATTTGTAAATTTAGCAGGTTGGTGGGTATTAATCAATAATCAGAATATTTTTATGAAAATGGACGAAGAAGGAAAAACAAACAGAAAACAGATTTAGTTTGGAAAAGGTAAGCCAATGTAGCTGGACAGGAAATAATTTAAATAATAAATTCTCAGTGTGAGAGAGGGATTGAAGCCTGGAAACAAGGAATACTGAAATACACCTGAAGTGGTAGTGTATTTCACACTACACACTAGTGTAAACACACAACAGTAAATAAAAATTAATTTGCTGTGACAGCAAAAAACTGTGCACTGTTCACTTACAGAACTGGAAGATTTGCTTTTTCTTTTGATAGGCCTGGTATTAACACAAAAAAAGGTTTGTATTCAGTAATGCATACCTACCTAGTAGTAAAACATAAGAATCATAGAAATTAAGGGCTGGAAAGGACTTTGGAAGATCATTAAGTCCAAACCCCCTGCTCTGGGTAGGAATACTGCTGAGACCATATGATCCCAGCAAGGTGTCTGTCCAGTCTCCTCTTGAAGACTTCCAAGGTTGGGGACTACACTACCTCCTTGAGAAGTCTCTTCCAGATTCTGGTCACCCTTGCCTAAAGAAGTTCTTCCTTGCAACCAACCTGAAGCCATCCTCTAACAGTTTATTGCCATTGCTGCTTGTCCTCCCCTGGGGCGCTCTAGTGAACAGTTTTTCTCCCAGCTCCCAATATTCGCCCCTTACATACTTATAGACAGCCATCAAGTCCCTCTGTCTTTTCTTCCCAGTCCCAGATCCCTTAGTCTTTCCTCATAAGGCTTGCCCGTAATCATTCTTGTGGCCCTTCTCTGCACCCTTTCAAGATTAGCATAGTCAGAGACCATATCAAAGGCCTTTTTAAAATCCAAGTATATGACATCAACCGCCTATCCCACATCTAAGGAGATGAGGTTGGTCAGACATGACCTGTCCTCAACAAAACCATGTTGACTATCCTTCAGCATCATGCCTTCTGCCAGTCTCTCACAAATGGACCTCTTGATAATTTTTTCCAAAATGTTACCTTGTATTGAGGTCAGACTGACCAGCCTATAGTTTCCTGGATCCTCCCTACTCCCCTTCTTAAAGATTGCACCACATTGGCCCTTTTCCAGTCTTCTGGAAGTTGGAGAATGTCTGCAGAAGAACAATAAAAATAACTGAGAGGCTGGAGAGAGAGACTTGCATAGAAAGAATAAGGTAACAATAAAATTAGTTTTACTGTACGTGTTCAAGGGGCAGCATAGCCCTCTGTATAAATATTTTGAAGAATAAAAATATCAGGAACTAAAATAATTATTTATGATGGTACTAAATGGCTTAGTTTGAGGAAATGGGATGAAATTAAGAAATAAAATTTATACTGAATGTCAGGAAAGGGAATTCAAGCTTGTTTTTGAAGATTATCCACCAATGAAGATGCATAGGTCTTTGTATAACTTCACAGATTCATCCTTTTAATATTTAGTCATCCATCAAACTGAACATATTCATCTTGTACACTTTTTGTGAGAAGACCAAATAAAATAGTCTCATTTTCTATTTATATTCTAATTTTGCATTAATCAGCCTGAATCCAGTGTCAAAACTGGCTTTGCTGTGCAACACTAAACTGTGCTTACAGAAAAATATATCTAAAATTAGAAAACCTTACAAATAAAAAGATGAGCTAGAATATACTCACAGTACAAGTCATTCCGTTTCACTTTTTATCCCAAGTATGTGTATATGTATGTGCATTTCTCTTTTTTTGTAAAGGTGATTGAAGAAATAGAGGAAATGATGCAGGAATCGCCTGACCCAGATGATGATGAAACACCCACTCAGTCAGACCGGCTATCCATGCTTTCTCAGGAAATTCAAACGCTCAAGAGGTCCAGTACAAATAACAGTTATGAAGAGAGTAAGAAACCCTGGTTTAATATCCTGCCTTTATACTTTAACTTTTTGAATATATTGAGAAGTCTCAATATATCTCAAATCCTGGATTTGGCTCTCTATAGGAAAAGTGAAAAGGCAGCTATCCCTGTAAAGTTTATTAAGAATTGCAAACAGTGGTAATTGACTGTTGAGGCTACTGGATGTACTTTGCATTTCCAGAGATGAACTAATGTTCACAAAAGCAGTAATCGGGGGAAAAAAAGTAGACTTTGCTGTTTCAGTGACTGTAGTGTCTGCATTTTAGTATAAGCCAGAGCAGAAACAAAAGAAAAAATGTTTTTTCTACATAGGCATAATGAGCTTGACTAGTTTAATTTTTGTGCGGGGTTAATGTGATAGTTTTCACCTTTTACTTTCATAAGCTAAGTACAGATGTTTGAAAAGCTCAAAGTGGAAGTGGTCTAAATTTTGCACCTTACTCTAAGTGCCCAAAGTTAGGCCAGGAGTGAATGGAACAGATGTTCACCCTTGCAGTGAGGGAGGAGAGTATGCATGCTGCCTGCAGCGTCCTTGGCCAGCAGGTTCAGGTTGTTCCCACATGCCTCCCGGTAGACTGCCTCCACTCCCACACCCCTGCCACCGCTGCTGACAGCTGGCCACTGGCAGTGACGGGGAGCGGCCTCATGGAAGCTCCTGCTGCATGCCCCAGCTGTGGTGACTCAGGTCTAAGGTAGCTGTCAGTGGGGCTGGTGGGGAGGGCAGGACAGGGGCGAGCTGCACCCAATACTCTAGTGACCTAGGGCTGTCCCCCACTGGCCCAGCCTAGGATGGCAGGTGCACATGCCATCCAAGCCTGGCTGCAGGCAGGGCCTGGTGCTGGGCAGTTCCTGGGCTGGTAGAGGCACTAGAACAGTGGCAGGCGTGGCTGGGAAATGCAGATGGCTGCAAATGTGCAGGGCTGGGGCTGTCATTGATGCATACCCCCAGGGTTGGGGAGGAGCAAAGCAATGGGCTCCAGCTCCAAAGATACCAAGACAGTGCTCTGCTGTTGCCTGCTTTGTAGTGCTGCCTGGGCAGCCAGCTCTGCTCTGCTGTGCCCTGCCACTTGCCTGGTGAGGTGCCCTGCAGGGTGGGAGTTCTGGCCTCAGTGTGCCACTCACTGAGGACCCCCTCAGAGCAGCCCCGCTGACCCTAGGCATGGGGCAAGGACAGGGACCAGGTCCAGCACTACATGGGGCAGCAACTGCTGCAGGGGGGTTGCTTACCCCCAAGTTGCTCACCATGTCAGCAGTCTTGGAAATGGCCAGGTGAGTGGTGGGGCAGGGCACAGCTGGCTGCCTAGGCAGCATTGTGGGGCAGGCAGCAGTAGAGTGCTGTCCTCACAAGTCGGCTCAGCATCCTTGGAGCTGGGTCCCATTGCTTTGCCCTCGTCTCTGGAGCCCTGGCCCCACACACCCATAGCCCACTGCACTTCCCAGCCTTGCCTGCCCCTGTCCCAGTGACTCTGCCATCCCAGGAGCTGCCCAGCACTGGGCCCTGCCTGGCATGTCACAGGGTCGTGTGTGGGTGCAGCCAGGCTCAGACGCCCACAATGCACTGGTCTAACCTAAACTGATTAAGTCTGATACCATGATGATTCAGAGCTGTCTTAGACTGGGATTCCCCATTTTTAAACCAGTCTATGCACCCTGAACTTATGTACAGTTATGGGTTTTGATCAATTTCCAATCACTTATACTAGTTTATGTGTAGGGACCTACCAAACTCATGGGCCCCAGCAGCCAGTTACACAGGTGTAATGCAGCTGGGGCCCCCAGTTTCATGGCCATATATCTGGGGCAGCCATTTTGAAAGTGGAGCAAAG